TCCTTCTAGTTGTATGCAGCTGTGTCTTTCTTCTATTATGCCTCTGCATTCTAGGGACAGACATGGCTTCTTTCTAAGTAGGTACCATTAATCCCTATGCGTGTGCATCGCTGGCCGTCATCTCTTCGCTATAGATGTTCAATTTTTAATTACAACACAGGAGGATTCGCTAACGCATTTGTGTCACTTTTCTGGTGTTACGGCCACGTTAGAAAGTCCTGCGCCAAATTAATAAAAGCCGCACAGCAGTTTTCTTACTATTTCCAACACGTGACAAGTTTAGGTAGTTCTTATGTGCGAAACGTTTACACTCTGGTGCTATGTCTGTGACAAATACTTTAAGAAATGCCGCCATGTCGGTCATAAGAAAAGCGCAGGTAAATAAGACCTCCTCCATGTTTGAGTGAATTGATTCACATATAACTGTGTTTCCATAGATTTCTAAAAAAAAAAAAAAAAAACAGTGTGATGTGCCAAGATCAGCGCATCAGCACTGTGACTGCTAACGCACACCTGTGGCTGTGTGCTGTAGCACAGCTGGTGGTGTGAATGCAGCCTTAAAGGATATTTAAACCTTTTAAGGCTGCATATATCTACTGCTAACAAGCAGTAGATATATGCAAAAAGTAAAAAAAAAAAAAAAAACGCTCAAACAGCAGTTTAGACTTTCCTGTGTTCCGTGCGCGGTCCCGTGCGAAAAATGAGAAATTTCTCTAGCGGCCGCAAAGGATCTTGGGGCGGGCGCATGCGTAGTTCTCATTTTCGGCAGGGACGCGACGAGGGGCGCAAGGTAAGTCTATGGACGAGTGCACCCGCATGCAGACACCGCTGGATCAGAGGGACAGAGCAGTCAGCGCTGGATCGGAGAACCGCCGCACCACTGGAGAGAAGGCTGAAAACATTAGGAAAGAAGAGGAAGATCGGAAAAAGAGACATCATTTAAGGTAAGTGCTAACATTAACATTGGGGGGAGGGAAACAGTTTTTTGCCTTTAATGTCACTTTTTAAAGAACAATTTTGGGTAAATAAAATCTTAACCCTTGCACTGCAAGGTTTAAGTGCTCATTTTTGTCGAAGTTACTCATCAACCTCATACAACTGTAGAGCCAGCCGGCTGTGACAGCGCTCCTTCTTGCCTGTCTCCTCCTCCGCTGCAGTGATGGGTTGTCCCTCAGCGTCCTCACGTCCACATTGTATAGAACCTGATGACTCAGAGAGCAAGGTGGGAGGGACAGTCTAAGGCTCCTTTCGCACGGGCAGTCCAATCGGGTACGCCTGTCAGTTTTTCAAGTGGACCCCATTGGATGCCCAGTGTTAGTCTATGGGCACCCGTGTGTAAATGGATGGGTGTCTGTTTACACTCGGTTACCCTCAACTCCGGCCCGGTCCGGAAAAACAAACAGTGATTCGTTTTGCCGGACCTTATCATGTCGGATCGGGGGGAGGCGGGTACTCTGACTCGGACATGTCTGTTTACATCCGATTCCCCATTGAACGACATGGGGTCCGGTCATTTCAGTAGCTTTACAGCACGTTGCACACGAAATGGGCTTTAAACAGTAAAACAGCAAAAAGTTTTCCTGGCACACTCACAAGCTAGCATGTAAAAAAACTTGTCTCACACTAAGTTTAAAAACAGAGGTTTGGATACATGTCTTCTGCAGAAAATGTGAAAGCTGCGCAAAGGCACCTCTTATAGTGCGGTCCTTTTGGAGACTGATAGTTTAGAGTTAGGACCGCACTATAAGAGGTGCCTCGGCGCAGCTGTGCGGCTTTCACATTTTCTGCAGAAGACATGTATCCAAACCTCTGCTGTTTTACGGTCGTTTAAGTATTCACAAGGTGGAGGAAAAAATTGAACGGTCGCGGATGTCACAGAGGTGACATCCGCATTGTACTGCTCTGATCAGGAGTGGATCTGTGCACGGATGCTCTCCTGTTCAGGCAAGTATAAAATCGACACAAAATCGACACAAACGAGCACTTAACCTTGCAGTGCAAGGATGGCCCCACTGCAAGGGTTAAGAACAGTTTTACTCCGAGTTCTGCTATAAAGCAGCAGTCAATCGAACAATATTTCTTTTTGAACTTTGGGTATTACTGTAAATAGGTTTGCTAAATGACAAATGTATTTCATAGCAGGGAAAGAAGGTGAAAATATAAACTTTGAAATGACCCTGTCGGTAATTTAAAACCTTCCCAAATGCATACCCTGCAGTATGGGACTGTAAATACTTACCTTTCCTGCTATTCATTCAGCATTGGAACACTGCTCTGATTCTGAACAATAATCCCTCAAAGTCTGTTGGTAAATGAACACTTGCTGATCTCTTGGGTCCCACCCAGTTCTCGCTGGTTTCAGTGCAGTCTGTTAGGAGTACAGGTGATTAACACTCCTAGAAGTGTTGCTTTACATACAAACGTTGAGGGACTATATCTAAAATCAGAGCAGTGTTCTACTGTGCAGGCAGCTGGAAAGGTAAGTACCGTGTTTCCCCGAAAATAAGACAATGTCTTATATTTTTTTGGCTCAAAAAAACACATTAGGTCTTATTTATTTTTTAATGTATACCAATCCAAACTTAATGCAAATCCAAATTAAATAATCCAAAATGGCAAAGTTAAGAATAGGGTGATCAGGGGTGCCATACCTTTTCAAGAGCAATTTGATAACCAGAAAAAGCGAAGCACACTTTCACTATCGATTCCTCACAGGCGGAGTGCATTTGGTATCACTTTGCCTGTGACAGGAGTCGGCGCTATAGAGGAGACGTCGGCTTATGCGGCTCTGCTCCCTGTGCTGCCGCCTCGCTTCCTCTAGTGCTGGCTTCATTGGCACTGCTGATTCTCTCACGCGGCTCTTCAGGTTCCCCCTTATGCCACCACCAGCCCTGGCAATGGTCACAACTAGGTCTTATTTTCAGGGTAGGTCTTATGTTCAGGGAAACGGTATGTACAGTCCTTTTCAGGGTATGCGTTTGGGCAGATTTAAAGTGACACAAAACTCAGGAGTTAAATCTTAAAAATACATTCAAGTACCCTAACTATTAATAAAAATGTATCTTATTTGCGTGTCACTCAGCTGTAGATCCTCAGATCATCTCTGATTTGGTGCTGACACTGTCCTTCCTTCTGGAGGGTGGCTACTTTTGTTCCCCCGTGGTCCCTGTGTGTGTTGTAAAGTAGCCACCGCTCCAAGCTCGCTCCTGTTATGGACTACAATCTCAATACAAATGAGTAAACTAAACGTGAGATTATAGTCCATCGCAGGAGTAAGCTTGGAGTGGTGGCTAATTTACAACACACACAGGGACCATGGGGAACAAAAGTAGCCACCCTCCAGAAGGAAGGACAGTGTCAGCACACATTCAGAGATGATTTGAGGATCTACAGCCGAGTGATATACAAATTAGATACATTTTTGCATTTTTAAGATTTAACTCCTGAGTTTAGTGTACATTTTAAGATTGACAGGTTTGTTTGTATACTTTTTCCCAGCAGCTTCTGAGATTACTGAACTATGCTGTGCTGTGAAAGGATGATGTATAACTAGCACTTTTCCCACCTCGTTCATTTATCTCTATTTGTCTTTACAGTTTCAAAACAGTGTTTTAGAAGGTTATGCATTAAAAAAGAGCAAGGCACTGCTCACACTAACACAATGCTGTAGCTGTCGAGCAGAAAATCTGCTCACGCGTTTTGATTGGCCTATGCGTATAAAGTTGTTTTTTTTATGGGAGGTGAGGCAAGAATCACTTATCTGACCCAGTTCTTATAGGTGTACAATGTAAGAAACAGCAGTGAGTATATAGTGACTTTAACCAGTCATGCTAGAATCTATTTTCTGCACCTCAAAACTGGTGGGATCCAAAGAGTTGGTGCAAAACCTGAACTTGTTTATCTCTAAAAAGTGGATTGTAAAAATCAAAAAAATTGTAAAATCTTAATCTTAAGTCAGTAACTGTAGTATTGAATATTCAGCACCTTAATTGCCTGGTGGTTTAAAGGTCAACAATGGCATCCTCAATTTTTTTCGTACAACTGAAGGCAAAACCTTTTTTTTCTCTTTTTGGTTTGAATAGAGTGGAGATAGAGAGGTTTAGAACGCCTGTCAGGTTTTTATTGCTGTCTGTGTCTCTTAGGGATATTCACCCTCTCTGACTGTCCTGGTGACCGTTGTTGCTGAAACGGAAAGGAAATCCCAAATATTGGGTTGTTACTAAAACAGGAGTAGATGGGAAATCTTCCAATGGGGACACTAGTTCTGGTGATGCTTCTGACCACCAAGGCTTTCCTCTCTTCCTGTTGTGGCTATTGGATAGGAAGTGAAGGATTGAAGGAAAATCTCTGCAATGTGACACAGATGACAAAAAAAAAACCTCACAGGGGTTATTACCCTCAAGTGGTGTACACAAGGTTCAACCTGCGTTCAATTTAAAATTTAAAAAAGATTCCTCCATCAATTCTTACGAGCGTTGACGGCCAAATCCCTGTTTGCATTGTATTCTGAAAGTGGCCGGCAGTCACTATCAGAATACTTGCACTAAGCTTGTAACCGATTGGCTGCTTACTCTGTTCAGCCAAGAATTTTCCAACCAGGTCCTTTGATCAGCTGACGAGGGATGCCGGATGGAAGGGTGCCAACAGCGGTACAAATTTCCAGCCGAAATCCGAATAGTGTGTACCCGACTTTTCTCTATTCAAACTAAAAAAAAAGTATTTTGCTTCTGTTTTACACATGAATCTCACTACCAGCACCCTATAGAGCTATAAGGAGCCATTTTGCAGTATACAGACCCTTTAAGAAGTTCATTGTCCCTCTGACAGGTTCAATTCAATATATAAAATAAAAATGGCATGAATTAATTTTTATGTTACCACATGTTGAGTTTTCTGCTGAATTACCAGGTGACATTTATGAGTGCAAACATCATGTATGGGGTCTATATATGTACTAACCTTTATATTGTATTCTTTTTTTTTTTCCTCCACACAAAGCATTTTTATGAAAAGTTTATTGAAACTTTTGATTCTGCAAACGGCAAGGATATTCTCACCACTGTCATCAAGGAGCTTTTCGAACACTACTACTCCTATTCTGCGTTACTCACTAAGATTACCATATCTCAGCACCTTACAATTCAACTTTGCTATAAGAAATAGAAGCTGCCACAGCATGGCAGAGCAACGTTACTGTGTAGAATACGCCAAGCGCGGAACTGCAGGCTGCAAGAAATGCAAAGAAAAGATAGCAAAAGGCATGGTACGAATTGGAAAAATAGTTCCAAATCCTTTTAGTGAATCAGCAGGAGATATGAAGGAGTGGTACCATGTCAAGTGCATGTTTGAGAAGTTGGAGCGTGCACGGGCAACTACAAAGAAGATTGATGACCTCACCGAGCTTGAGGGTTGGCAAGAGCTACAGGACGCTGAAAAGGAAATGATTAATCAGCATGTAAAAGGTGAGGGGTTTTTTTTTAAAGGTAACTGAGAGAATCATGGAGAAATGTTCTGAAAATGTTAATTGCCTGGCTAGTCACAAACCCACATCAATTATGCATACTTGTTATAGGTCAGTTGCTCAGAAAGTACTTAAGCCTGTATATCGGCATTACAGCAAGCCACCTAGCTTTTGCAGAAGGAGGTGCGCAATGGCATCCACCACATCCCCAACTGCAGGGGTGTGGATGTGTATTTCTGAAGTGCCTTTTTTTGGCGCTTTAGAAAACACACTCGGGCGTCCAGTGCGGTGTGAATGGCTGTGATTAAGCCCTGGTTCACACCTAGGCATATTGCATATGCGCTTCAGTCGCGCGTTTTTTTTACCGCGGTAAAAAAAATTGCGCGTTTCCGAGTGCTACTTGGCTGTATCCCAATGGAAACGCACAACAAAAACGGCCCAAAGTAGTACATGTACCTTTTCAGGCGTGGGCCGTTTTGTAGCGCGTTAGGGACGGGCTGAAATACGCCAAGGTGTGAACCAGACCCATTGAATACAATGGGATTTAGATGTTTGAGCGTTCATCGAGCGTAGAACGCGCTACAAAACGTTCAGGTGTGAACGGGGGCTTAGACAGCTCGGATCAGTGAAAGTGTACAGAGCCAGTCAGAGTTGCTCTGTACCTTGTAATGGCTGTCACTGGTTCACAACAATCACAAGTGTAAACAGAAATAGTGTTTACAAACATTCAGCTCATTCACCACAGAGGAAGCCCCCCTTCCTCCATCATAAATGGGTTGAATGTTTGTAAATACAGCAGGGAGGAGGATTATGGCCACAGACCACCAATGATGTTGGAATAATTTTTTTTACAGTGGGGTTTAAAGTGCCACTGGCCACCAATGATTGTGGGATTGTTTTCGTGGGGGGAGGGAGGTAGATAAAGTGCCACTGGCCACTAATAATTGTGGTAAAGGTTAGTAAACCTACCTCAGCACTTAAGGTCTCGTTCACACCTAGGCGTATTGCATATGCGCGTCTGTCGCGCGGTTTTTACCGCGATTCGCGGTAAAAAAGTCGCGCGACAAACGCGCGTTTCCGAAGGCTACTTGGCTGTATCCCAATGGAAACGTGCAACAAAACGGCCCAAAGTAGTACATGGACCTTTTCAGGCGTGGGCCGCTTTGTAGCACGTTAGGGACGGGCGGAAATACGCCAAGGTGGGAACGAGACCATTGAATACAATGGGATTTATATTTTTGAGCGTTTTGTAGAGCGTTCGTCGAGCGTAGGACGCGCTACAAAACGGTCAGGTGTGAACGAGGGCTAAACTATATATTGGATTGGTATGCAGGCTGGTACTCAAGCGATTAAACTTAAACCCTTGGCAGTGTGGGGCTGGCCCCAAGGGTTAAAGGAGAACTATGGGGTTAGGGCTTTTCCCCGTAGTTCTCCTAAGGGTAACAGGAGGACACAAACTAGCGCCCTCCCGTCAACCTAAACTCAGTATACCGCTATACTGAGACGCCACAGCTGAAACGGATCCCGACAATTATGTCTGGATCCGCCCAGTTGTGTGAGTGACAGCTGGCTCTGCCTATGTAGAGGCAGAGCCAGCTGTACCTGCCCCCTCCCCGTCCATTCCGCCAGTTAGCGCTGGAGGAGCGGGGAGGGGGGGGAATCCAGCCCCTCCCCTGTCACGGCTCTCTGCCGTGACAGGATGGAGAAGTAAGCGAATGCCGGTATGTGTTCGCTCACCTCCTGATCTACTGAGCCGACCTGTGACAGTCTCATTGTCACAGGTCGGCTAGAACTATGAGGATGAGTGAAAAGCACTCACCTCATAGTTCTCCTTTTTAAGAATAGTTTTTCCCAGGAGTTCTTCTTTAAGGCATTGTATTCATATACTAGCATAGTTTCTTCCCCCTGTTTTTATCTGTATTAAAACTCCCTATGTACTTTAAGAATATTGTACTTCAACAAAGGTCAGTGATACATTTGAACACTGATTTTTTTTACCCAACACTTTGGCTATGTGCCAGATTATACCTTCTGCTTGTATTTCTGAATGGGCCAACCAGGAATATTTTGAATTTGAACTTTCCAAGGACTTGTCTTTCCAGTACTGTGGACATGAAGGAAAATGCTTTAGGTGTTGGCAGCGTTTGAGATTTAGAATTTGATTGATGGACTTGACCTTTGTATGAGTACTGTCAATCTTATGAATGGCCGGCTTCTAGACACTAAGCTCCTGATATTTTGTAGATGCGATGTGCATATTACCCTTTGTTTTTGCTATTAATAGTTATGAACTGTGCTTTCAGATGCCGCAGTAAATTACATATTTGTGCATTACCTATTAAGTAAATAAATCTGTTGGTTTGGTGCTTTTTAATGTGTTATTTTACTATGTACTTGGATACATTCCCAGAGCTTGCTGCTAAAGCTGGAGCTGCACCAACACCTCGGAAAAAGACTCCTTCAAAGGCGAATCAACCCCCGACAGCACCAAGTGCATCTCCATCAACAATGCCTGCACCGAGCCCTTCACCTTTAAAGTTTTCTGGGTTTTCAGGTATGTGTTTCTGACTTGGAGAATGTATTTTACACTTTCTAAACACAAGCAGTAAAATGTCATTTTGAATTTAACCCCTTCATGACTGAGCTTGTTTTTAGTTTCTGTTCGTAAATGACTGACACACTTTTGACATTTTTGCTGTGTGATTCTTCCACGTCAGTAATATACTTTCTTACAAAGTGCACCCACAATTATATATTGTTTTTTAGAGGACAGATAGGGCTACATATTTATATTGCATATGTGTGTCTAACGCCTCACTTAGGACAAATAAAATATAAAAAAAGAGGAAAAAACATTAAAAAAAACACTTTTTTCCAAGTTTTGATTTGTAGTATTTTTTTACAAAACCAGCACAGCTAAAAAAAAAAAATGCAATAAATACATTCATTTATTTGTCTTTTTTATTTTTTTAGACTTTTTTTTTCTTTACACTTTTCACTATTTTTTACATTTTATTTATTTAATTATATCAAGCAGTCGTGAATTAATCTCACTATTACTGCTTGATAAATTAATACATTTTTGGTTATTATTAGGCTGTTTCAAACTTCAGAACAGCCAATAATAAGTTAGTGACACTGATCCTGCAACAGTTCAGGATTCAGCTGTCACTAAAGGTTTTCTTGAACGTTCCAAAAACGATCAGCAACCTGAAACATTCTTCTTTCAGGAATAGATACATTATGTATCTATTCCTGAAAGTGAAAGGGAAAAAAAAAAGCCAGTATATGATCCGAGAGAGATATCTCTAGATCTATACGAGCTGTCAGAATGCCGGCTTTTGCCGGCATGTTTGCCCGCTCTGCTTTGACTCTCAGACACCCGATATTAAGGTATCAGGTGTCTGAAAAAGGTTAACCCTTTCCTTAATGAATGCCTCTATACTGAGGCATCCATTAACGAATGGTAACCGCTGATTCTCAGGGGTTACCAGCCCTCTAATGCAGCAAATAACGCGTCACGTACAGTGCACGTGACGAGTCATTTGATCCCTTTGTGGCGGGACGTACAGTGTACGTCTCCCGTCACGAAGGGGTTAAAGTGTTTGTGTTAAAATGGGTACTGTAAAGTAAGGCAGTGAAATAATAAACTGTGTAAACAGTATTCTTCACATTACTATGTTTCTGTACCACTGAAGCACGTAGCACATGCCATATACACCCTTGTTGAGTGGCAGTACAGGGGCTGGGTTGCTTGTGCCTCTTGGATAACGATCAAGGTTACATGGAATTTACAGTCATCGGAACTTAAGTGGATCTCCAGCAGAAACTTTTTGTAGTGGACTAGGAAGGGTTTGAATATCTGTCAGGGATTTACAGTATTGCGATTTATTTTTTCTTAGCGCATAAGAATTGTAAATGTTTTTTGCTCACTTTTTATCCTGGTGACCGTTGGCACTGGGAGCAAAAGTGTAAATCTCTGCCATAGGGATACTGCAACATAAATACCATTTAACCACTTGCTGTGCGGGGCATTTTCTTACTATTTGCGCACACATGATAAAATATATTTTTTTTGGCTAGAAAACAGCTTCAAACCCCCAAACAATTATATATGTTCTGAAAGCAGAGGCCATGTAGAATAAAAAAAATGCTAGTTGCAATTTTTTATGTCGCACGGTTTTTGCGCAAAAGGTTACTTTTAGAAAAAAATAGTGCACAGAAGCATAATATAATACCAAATGTTTTGGTAAAATATGAAAGATGGGGTCACACCGGTAAATAGATACCAAACATGTCAGGCCTTAAAATTGCATTCGCCTGTGAAGCTTCGAAAAATGGCAATACCCAAAATTTCTATAGGGAACATTTTAAACGCTTTTACCGCTCATCAGACCCATAATGTCACCTAGGGACCCCGAAGAAGCTGAGGAAGCAGGGATCTGCTTCCCCAGCTTCATCTCTTGGCTCTAAGGCCCCATTCACACTCCGCGATATGCAAATTGCGCATTTGTCGCGCGATTTGCATTTTGCGCGATATCGCGAGATTTGCCTCGCGATATCGCGCAAATGCTTTCATTTGAATCGCGGCAAAATCCGCTCCAAAAAGGGTCCTGCTGTAGCGACCCGCGAGAAGCATGCCCCATTGAGAAGCATTGGAGAGCGATATCGCGCGGTAATTTGCCGCGATATCGCGGGAATTACCGCGCGATAAATCGCTCAATGTGAACGGGGCCTAAGAGCCGGAGACTGTGTACAGTGACACCGGAAGTGATGTAATACACATCGCTTCCGGGTCCAGTGATCGGAGGAGAGATCGGCGGCAGTGGTGACCAGGGGAAAACAACAGTGGTTATAGACGTATTGCGGCCTGGAAGTGGGTAAAGAGCATATTCTTTGCAGCTTTCAAAGTTGGAGTTACCCTTCTTTTTGGGATACTGTTGGTGGTGGGTAAGGGCAATAAATATACAGCTAAAGTTTAAAAAGATTTACATTTTTTTTAATACTATTTTGAGCCAGTTTTCCTTTTGATAATAAAATAATAATCAGGAGACATTTATTAACATTTATTACCAAATGAAGGTCCAATTTGTCCCAGACAAAACCAGGTATAATTAACATGTATATACTAAGTAGTTGCAAAGATATGTACAGTTTTGTTAACACGTGGCAACGTTGCAGAACTTAAAGAAGGTGGGAAAATACACTAGCCTGATCCTTGGTCCTACGGCAGTCAGTGATCGCCTTTCTTCCCCGGGCTCCAGCTGTGATATGTCCCTTGTGTCCTCGCATCTAAAGGACCTGCATTAGACATGATGATGTCACGGGTCCTTAGACTGCTTGAACCCGGGGGAGAAGAGTCTGCGGTGACCTGTCTAGCTGACAGGCAGGACCAAGGTGAGTATATTTTCTTTCTTTTCATCCCTAGACCAAAAGCAGCAGTTAACCCTTGCATTGCGGGGGTAGCCCCAAAGCAAGGGTTAATTTGTAAAAAAATCTTGGAGTTCTTTACGAAATACAAAATATAAGCAGATTTAACTTCAAATTTAAATTCGTATACTACTTACTAATGTGGTTAGAGTATTAACCCCTAGTAGAATGTTGGTGTGGCGTGACATAAAGGTATGTGTTAGTAAATGGGTTGTTATAGTGGTTGTCTTTTATAGAGGTACAATAATTGAATAGTGTTCAGTTTACAGTTTAAACATTTTATAAATACATGTGGTCTTACCGGGGCTTGGTTTTTTAAACCTCGGCACCAAGTCTTATAATGTGTAGTATAATATAGAAAAATAAAACAGCACTTTGTTTCCTGTCAGCAGCGCTGGCGTGTCCTTGCACCCTTTCAGCTTTTACCCCTAGTGCTGGTTTACACCTGGGCGTTTTTCAGTGGTGATCGAAGCGCTGAAAAACGCGCAGCAAGTGAAATCCCATAATTTCCTATGGGCATGGTTCCCACCTGGGCCTATTTCAGCACGTAGGAACGCGCTGAAACGCCCTATGCCCATTGATATTTCCGAGTGTGGCTCGGGGTTAACAAAGCGGTAACCCCAAGCCACACTCGGGAATACAGCGTAGGTCTTACCTTGTCCGCGATCCCTGCTGTGTCCTCCGGCGGCTGCCGTCTTCCGGGTACCGTCCCTTGCGAGCGTCTGCGTCGCAGGGGGGCGGAACCGGCGGGAAGTTTGAAAGTAAAACCAAAAAAAGATAGAAAATAAAAGGAAAAAAAAAATCGTACCGCCATTGAGGTAAAAAAACGAGCGTCGAACGCGCGTTTCACTGAACTAAACGTGCTAAAAAACGCGCCTATAGTACGACCAGGTGTGAACCCAGCCTTAGTGAATATGTTCCCCAGACTCTGCAGTGGCTGTGTGTTCTGTTGGTCTATAACTTTAGACATAGCACACAAGGCACAACCTGAGAACACACACAGTCAAAACACTTTTTGTTTTTAAATATTACCTGAATAATCACATGGCTAATAATGCTTTACACTTCAATAAAACACACTATTCCAAATTAGCTGTTCAAGGAATGGGCGCTCTTTGCTATTATATATTTTGTGTATTAAATCTTGTGTGAAATATCAACTTGCGCTTCTGGGTAAGATTTTCATTTAGTATCAGAACTCCATATGCAGAGGGTTCAGTCTAGAATCTACCAACAAGTACTGTATGTGCTTTCACTGACAACAAATGAAAAGTTAAGCAGACGTTTCATTAGGATTCAGCACAAGTGCATGAAACACATGAATTCTGCAGTGCTTAGTCCTGCTAGCAAGCAAGGGGGAGCTGATTTAAATGTGAAAATAACCTTTCATGAAATTAGAGGTCTTGCTAGCATACATTTGCAAATATGAGGCACAAACCTAGTATGATGCCCATGTGTATGTGGCCCTTCTCCAGTCTATTTTGGAACATTTTGTTTTTAGCTTCTCCTTTTTTTTCCTCTTCAATTACTTTGTGTCTCTCTCTCCCTCGCCCTCTCTCCCAAATACAGTTTTGCATTGCCAGAGCAATATTGTCAATTTGAAGGATAATATAAAGGAAGATGGGGTCGATTCCAGATAGGGGGTTTATAAATCCACAATTTCTTATATCCCTCTCCATTTATGATCTGCTATAACATATTGTGCCCCTACTTTCACCGTTGACTAATATTTCTGTAAATCTTTCACTGTTTTTCTTTTAATAAAAAATCATATTGAAAAATTGTTAGGTTGAGTCTCTAAATGCACTAACTAGAAATTAAGAACTTTGCCTCTGTTTAAGAGGTTACTGTAGTTTAACCACCTCCGGGCCGGCCATGGTAAAAAAACGGCCGGCCGAGAGGTCTCTAGATCTGAGCGGGCGTCTTTAGACGTCCGCTCAGACACGCCCCCTCGCACGCGCGGGAAATGGCCGGTATTTGAAAACAGGCAGCGATGCCTGTTACCATACAAGCGATCCGCCGGGTGTAGAGCCGGCGGATCACGTGTATGGTGTGCCGTTCGGGTTCCCCGAGCTCCCTCCGGTCCCCTCTCTTCTGCAAGAATGCGGAAGTGTTATGTCACTCTCCAGCTTCAGAAGCTGGAAAGAAGCTGATGGAGCAGATCTGTGCTTCATCAGCTTCTTTTGGGGGGTCCTAGGTGACATTAGGGGTCTTGGAGACCCCTGATGTCTCCATAAAGAGGACCTGTCACATATTTTGCATCACATGGGGGGTTTAATTAGCCCCCGTATGTGATAGCAATAAAGTTTAGGGGGGAAAAAAATGTAAGTTCTTCCCCCCCCAAAATTGTAAGTTACACATAAATAAGAAAAAAAAAAAGCAAAAAAATTTTTTAAAGTCTCCACCCATACATACACGCATGCAAACATGCGTCGGGGGCGCATACGTGCAAAAAACATGTTACATATCGCACCGAACGTCGCAGTGAGAGCAATAAGTCTAGGGCCATCAATCACGGATAACACTAAACTGATGAGTGGTAAAAGCTTTTAAAGCGTCGCCTGTGGCCAATTTTGGGTATGGTAGTTTTCTGCGATTTCGCGGGTGCGCGCAATTTTAAAGCTTGACATGTTTGGTTTCTATTTACCCGACGTGACCCGATCTTTTATATTCTACCAAAAAACTGGGTAATAATGTTTCCTAACAACATAATGTAAAAAAAAACTTTTTTTTTTTTTTCAAAATTTCCTGTAATTTTTCCTAATTATAGTAAAAAATAAAAACCCCAGTGGTGTTTAAATACCACCAAAAGAAAGCTCTATCTGTCCCCAAAAAATGGTATACAATTCATTTCAGTACAGCGTTGCAGGGCGGAATAAACGTCAGTCAAAGTACCGCAGCGCTGAACACTGAAAAATTACCTTGCCAGGAAGGGGGTCTAAACACCTGGTCTTGAAGTGGTTAAACCCTGTTCTATTACTGTCTGGGCATCACATCGAGTGATACAGACCTGCATGGTTTTTCTTTTCGTAGAAAGATATTTTTAAAAAATCGTGACACTCTGACGATTAAGTTGGCCATACACTGTTTTATTTTTTTGGTTCATCCTGTGAGTGTAGCACTCCTTGCATGGAGGTAGAGGGGGTTAAATGATGATCCTGTGCACAGGACTTTTTTACTGTAGTATAATTGTCCTAATTTTTTGGCCTGTCATGCCTTTATTGCTTACGCACAAAATCTATTAAGGTATTTGTAAAAGAATGATTAAACTTCAAGAGAATGTAAAAGCCAGGTTTTAATCAGGTTCTCAATTTGCTAGCAATCAGGTCTGAGCACTGGGGAATCTGTTTAATGTGCTTGTATTGAACTGCCCCTCCCACATGCACCCCTCTTGCTGGTTATCAATTGATGAACTGCTGTCTGTTCCTCACGTTAGGATTCAGGACATGTCAAGCAGCATGCACTTGTAATCCTAGAGGTGGTAATTATTTCAGAAGTGATGGTTCAGTCTCTCTGGCCTATAATAGCTCTAAACGCTGTTTCTTTTTTACCTTTTATGCAAAATAACTTTTAGGTAAAAAAATGCTATCTTTCTATGACACGACCCAA